CTTTTTTTTAAATAGTATATTATGACCAGCTTATGACAGGCCAAGCAGACCCCGTACACACTTTGGCTCGAGTTGTTTCCCTTTTACAAAGGACAGATCTCTACCAAATACGTAGCTAGGCTATTGCTACTTCTAAAGCGCACATTCCAGGAAAACCAGTTCATATTTTTATGTTTGCTTTTTACAAACTTTGAGAATGACAATATATGAGGAAGATGTTATCACGAGTATGTTTTTCTGATGGCCACGACTCGCTGAATGGAAGGTTGAACAGTCTGTTACGTTTCTGTTGCAAGATTCGCCTCAGACGCCACCTGTCTGCCTGCTGCCAAGGCAAAAGTGTTGAGCAACTGGAAGAAGCCCTTGAGCTGTACAAGAAGTTCATCAAGAATCCCGACAAAACATTTTATGCAGCAGTTCGAAAACTGGAGTTCCTTAAACTAAGAGAAGGTAAGTGCGTGTAATCATCAAGACATCACCAAACCCCAGTACTTTTGTGTGTTATCCGAACAAGAATGGATTGTATCTACAGTGCTATATTTAAAGCCGCTCGAAAGAAAAAAGCACTAAAACATTCGATTCGCTCACATTATTTCGAAACGTTAACAGGCCGAAAAACGTTGCCGAAACGAACGCTGCTAATCCAGACTGTGATTATCGTCAAATACGTCACCATGAAATAACCACTTTCTGTTTATTATATTTTAGCAGCCATAAAACACAAATGTTGTCTTTCATTTGAACGGCAGTTTATATTGCTTCCGAAATAAGAAAAAATATCAATTCATATCGACCATCTACATCAATTACGTAGTTGTATTCAGCTGATTCCTGATGGCAGGTCTGATTGCTTATGCTTTGATATGTTTTATGTTTCGTCAGGTAGCACGAACAGAATACGATTCATAGATTGTTGGCAGATATCATGATCAGCATCATCCGCTTTAGAACATGAGCACATTTAGAATTCGTTAACATGGTATTACAGACACGGGCACATGGAATTATAGACTTGGACACATGGTATCACAGACATAATAGTACAGAGTGGGAGACATCATGCGACTGGGGCACATGGAATTACAGGTTGGGACACATGATGTTGCAGACTGGAGCACATGGTTTTACAGATTGGGGCACATTGTATCACATATACGGGCACACGATAGAGGTACATGTACTACAGACTTGGGAACATGGTATCACATACACGGTCACATTATATTACAGAGGGGGTACATGGTATTACAGACTGGGGCACATGCTATCCATACACGGGCACAATATATTACAGAGGGGCCCATCATATAACAGACACGGGCACAAGATTATACAGACTGGGGCACACTGTATCGCAGACACGGGCACATGTTATTGCAGGCTGGGGCACATGTATTACAGGCCGGGGCACACAGTAGACAGACACCGGCATGTTATGTTACAGAGGGGGGCACATGGTACAGTAACAGACTTGGTCACAAGGTGTTACAGACTGGGCCACGTGTTGCAGGATTGCGAGAAGCTCTACGTAGGCGTCATGCAGGCGTGTTGGACAAAGCTATTAAAGACGCGTTGTCATCTCCACATGCTGAACGTCTCCGGAGCCAAGTCCAAGTCGCCGAGAAATTACGAGATCATCTGCGAGAGCTCAGATTAGTGAAACATGAAGTGAGAATGGACATTGATCTGAAAACTATTTCGGAGATGCGGAGCTATCAGAAACCCCCGAACAGTGTTTGCAAAGTGACAGCAGCGGCTTGTATGTTGCTTGGCTACTCGGACAGACTGACCAGGGTAAGACATGAAGTGGACATTGACACCAAGACATTGTTGGTGGAATAGAAATTGCCCTTTAACTGTATTGTAAAGTTGCGTGTGCATTGGTTTATTTTACCTTTTATTCTTAAGTGTGAGTGACCCGAATAAATGGATCTGTAATCAGGAAGCCCCAATGCAGCTCAGAATATCAATCACTGGTTAGTCAGGTTCCGAATTTACGTAACGCGAAACAAAGGACGTGTAATACTGGAACCGTGCCTCGGAGACGGTTACTCTTACTGATATAAGTATGAAATGCTGCATATACCAAAGCACAAGGTAATGGATATGCAAGACCAAACCTGGTTCCAATTACACAAAACCATCTTAGGTGAACAATGATCATATTTTCCATACGTTAACACAGAAATACTAAAGTCGTAGTCCTGTGATCACTTTGTGTGGTGAGCCCTGGTATTCGCGCAGATCTATATAGGTTATGTGATGGTAGAATATGTGACTTTTCACGAGGACGTGAGAAGATGAGGATGAACACCTCACCACAGTGACAGTGGAGTGTACTGAAAACTGAACGTTGTGTGTATCCATTATTAATGGTAAAACCCACCACGATTCAACAGGTATGCACCTGGTTAACCGTTAGATGTTATTGTGTTTGTTATCCTGTCCCACATTTTAAGAAGATTAAGGCGCAGTTCATCCGGTTCATCAACATCTGCTCAAGGGAGCAAAATTATGGTAATGGCATCAGTGATTACAAAGGTAATCTGTAGACGTGTTGCTGCTGCAGGTATGTGGAGGAAGAAAAGACGTCTCTCGGCGGGGCGATAGGCGTCAGTGGATCGTCACGGTACAAACCTATCGTGTCCCCCATGTGTGCCATGTAATCCCACTGAGTTACCAGCGGATATGTTACATTTGCGGACATTCAGTGGCATGTATCCAAACTCTGCCAAGCCTATCGGGGATTTAGACTGATTCGTCGAAAAACATATCAGCCCATTTCCCCTTGGGCCTAAAAACAACATCTGTACCACTGGTGTCTGTCTGTGGGGATAAGTCAAACGTGGTCTGTGCTGGGACGTTGATGAGGAACATGAACTACATGACGTCGTTGTCCAATTCTCCGGAACTGTACCACCCAGTCCTGTGGTGATGGTGGTTGTTGTTGTCCGTGCTTCTCCGACTGCGTAGATCAAAGCAAGCATCCTGATCTCGGTCGATGGGCATTGTTATGTGTTTAATGAATCGTGTGTACAATTTACTGGTCACTGACTGTGACACACCGAGTGTATTGGTAACCGTACGCTCACCTGTACCAATCTGTGGCATGTTACCTTAACGGGTAGCCTTGGCAACTGGACACGGAGTACTGATCAAGTTCTACCCATTTCTGAGAGGCTGAAGTCGATTAGTAAGAACAATGAAACTGTACAAATCCCAACCCCCTCGTTATTGTCTTTGATAGGATGTTTGTGGAAGTGTTGTTGTCAGCAAGTGACCAACATACAAGCAGTGGTATTATTCCGCACCTCAATCTCTGCAGACAGGCTGACGTCTACTGGAAAATGTGATACAATTTACACTATGTCACTTATACCTGGAGTGTCACCTTAGTCTGACATAAAACTGATGAAAGTTATTGACGTGCACATCTAGGTGAGCAGGGAGCCAACACACCAAGGGTTAAAATAAGTCTTTTGACTTCAGGATGAATCTGTCGAACCATTGCGTCAAGGGGCATGGAACATAATGCTGTCGGGTGAAGTTTGGGGGAACTTCATAATAACTGTCGTCAATTATATTTTTCCACGAAGGGGCATCCTTAATCGGGGTATATCCAAAATTATCCGAGGATGCTGAGCATCCATGTAGGCATGTAATGAAGACATTTTTAGCACAACATAATCTGTAGGAGGAACATAACCTAGCATCCTTATGCTCACATATTCGTTGTTTAATGAGAAAATCAATGCTGCTTTTATTGAACCGGTTGCTACAGAACGTATTGTCAGTGCTTCACAGACAAACACAGAATATAATCGCAGTTTACCACGTTTGCCTTCTCTATTGTTAGGATCGGACTGATAGCATTCTCTTCCCACAGAGGTTGTCATATCTTCCTACGAATATATGACAAGTAACCTCTGTGGGAAGAGAATGGGCTGATAGTAACTGTCGTTTCCTGTCACTATTGGTTTCTCATAGCCTGCAGAGTTACGGCATGTTTTATTTACTGACGATGTCAAAATTTAGAGCCTTCCTGTGAACATCAAAAGCCAGATCAATATGACAGTATTGACTGGACTAGATTGAATGGGCCCACGTCTTTCATTGAAAGAAGCATTGATTTCTTATAGATTATTCTGCATGATTCTCCCCTCTTGTCGCGCTGAAGATTCCACAAATCATTTAAAATACATTTAATATAACTACTTCACGTGTTTAATATAACTGTTTTGTGTGTTTGAGTTGAATATTTTTTATGTGTCTGTGTTTTGATGTGAGAATTTTGTGTGATTTTCTGATACTACCGTACATATTTGCTTGGACAAAATATGTAAAAATGCATTTTCGATTCATTAGGATGTTCATTGGGGGCTTTAATTTGTCTGCAGACGGGAATATTGTGGTAGAAACATTTCAGGAAGATCAGAATCAGAATTAACTGGGATTATTAGAACCATTGGCACTGTTCTCTATAGTTGCAAATGAATTGGTTATGATATCCTTTTATTGAATATTTATCATCGATATGCAAACCCCAACGACGGCATGTCCTGAATCTTGTGTGAGTAGGGATTTACTAATATTCAGCTAACCATGTAATAAATCAATCAGATATATAATGCTGTTCAATTGCTTGCATCAAATAGATTATTGGAATTGGAGTTCTTTATTATTGAAATTGCAAGTATCAGTTTGCAATTCGGTATACCATGATAATAGATGGAAATGAAGCCTTGCACAATTGTACCATTATGTATTTTTCGGGCAACATCAAGAGTGTTTGTAAATTTATCAAATGATGATGATAGCAGGTGTTCATGAATAGGAAGTAGTATACAGTCTGGAGATTGTATTTATTTAACAGGAAAGTCACTGTCACAAAAACATACCTGACCTGCGTAAACGGGTTGGCAATCACGGAGTTCGTTAAGTGGCGGGCAAATCTCTCAATGACAGAGGTCCGATTGTCGTTTCAGTGTTGGGCTGATGTTCAGACCGTACTCAGCCGGACAGGTCGGGACAATCCACTTCAACTGATGCACGAGTTCGAGCCCAGTGTGGTACCACAATACATTGCCGACAAAGTAGACAGTATACTGTGTCGGTACAGACTGGACGAAGTGAGGATCGCCAGTCATGGGGCAGCAAGTTTCCATGTGTGGGTCAGTGGAACAGTGTTTACGGGAAGGTGTTACGTTATACATCCTACATACACCATGCATACCAAAGTGGTAATCAGAGGGAACACCCCACTGGGACTTAGAGGGAACATCACGGAGGGAATTAGAGGGAACATCACAGTGGGAATTAGAGGGAACATCACAGTGGGAAATAGAGGGATCATACCAGTGGGAATTAGAGGGAACATCACAGTGGAAATAGAGGGAACATCATAGTGGGAATTAGAGGGAACATCCCAGTGGGAATTAGAGGAAACATCCCAGTTGGAATTACAGGGAACATCACAGTGGAATTAGAGGGAATATCACAGTGAGAATTAGAGGGAACATCACATTGGAATAAGAGGGAACATACCAGTTGAAACAGAGGGAACATCACAGAGGAATTAGAGGGAATATCACAGTGAGAATTAGAGGGAACATCACATTGGAATAAGAGGGAACATCACAGTGGGAATTAGAGGGAACATCACAGTGGAATCAGAGGGAACATCACAGTGGGATTTAGAGGGAACATCACAGTGGGAAATAGAGGGATCATACCAGTGGGAATTAGAGGGAACATCACAGTGGAAATAGAGGGAACATCATAGTTGGAATTAGAGGGAACATCCCAGTGGGAATTACAGGGAACATCACAGTGGAATTAGAGGGAATATCACAGTGAGAATTAGAGGGAACATCACATTGGAATAAGAATTCTTTGGTGGGAACATCACAGTGGGAATTAGAGGGAACATCACAGTGGGACTTAGAGGGAACATCACAGTGAGAATTAGAGGGAACGTCACAGTGGGAATTAAAGGGAACATCACAGAGGAATTAAAGGGAACATCCCAGTGGGAATTAGAGGGAACATACCAGTAGAATAAGAGGGAACATCACAGTGGAATTAGAGGGAACATCACAATGAGAATTAGAGGGAACATCACAGTGGAATTAGAGGGAACATCACAGTGAGAATTAGAGGGAACATCACAGTGAGAATTAGAGGAAACATCACAGTGAGAATTGGAATTAGAGGGAAACATCACAGTGAGGAACATAGAGGGAACATCACAGTGGAATTAGAGGGAACATCATGAGTGGAATTAGAGGGAACATCACAGGTGAGAATTAGAGGGAACATCATAGTGGAATTAGAGGGAACATCACAGTGAGAATTAGAGGGAACATCACAGTGAGAATTAGAGGGAACATCACAGTGGAATTAGAGGGAACATCACAGTGAGAATTAGAGGGAACATCACAGTGGAATTAGAGGGAACATCACAGTGGAATAAGAGGGAACATCACAGTGAGAATTAGAGGGAACATCATAGTGGAATAAGAGGGAACATCACAGTGGAATTAGAGGGAACATCACAGTGGAATTAGAGGGAACATCACAGTGGAATTAGAGGGAACATCACAGTGAGAATTAGAGGGAACATCATAGTGAGAATTAGAGGGAACATCACCAGTGAGAATTAGAGGGAACATCATAGTGAGAATTAGAGGGAACATCACAGTGAGAATTAGAGGGAACATCATAGTGGAATAAGAGGGAACATCACAGTGAGAATTAGAGGGAACATCACAGTGGAATTAGAGGGAACATCACAGTGAGAATTAGAGGGAACATCACAGTGAGAATTAGAGGGAACATCATAGTGGAATAAGAGGGAACATCACAGTGGAATTAGAGGGAACATCACAGTGAGAATTAGAGGAACATCATAGTGGAGAATTAGAGGGAACATCACAGTGGAATTAGAGGGAACATCACAGTGAGAATTAGAGGGAACATCACAGTGAGAATTAGAGGGAACATCATAGTGGAATTAGAGGGAACATCACAGTGAGAATTAGAGGGAACATCATAGTGGAATAAGAGGGAACATCACAGTGAGAATTAGAGGAACATCATCATGAGGGAATAAGAGGGAACATCACAGTGAGAATTAGAGGGAACATCACACAGTGGAATTAGAGGGAACATCACAGTGGAATTAGAGGGAACATCACAGTGAGAATTAGAGGGAACATCACAGTGAGAATTAGAGGGAACATCACAGTGAGAATAAGAGGGAACATCACAGAATGAGAACATTAGAGGGAACATCACAGTGAGAATTAGAGGGAACATCATAGTGGAATAAGAGGGAACATCACAGTGAGAATTAGAGGGAACATCACAGTGAGAATTAGAGGGAACATCACAGTGGAATTAGAGGGAACATCACAGTGAGAATTAGAGGGAACATCACAGTGGAATTAGAGGGAACATCACAGTGAGAATTAGAGGGAACATCATGTGAGAATTAGAGGGAACATCACAGTGGAATTAGAGGGAACATCACAGTGGAATTAGAGGGAACATCACAGTGAGAATTAGAGGGAACATCACAGTGGAATTAGAGGGAACATCACAGTGAGAATTAGAGGGAACATCATAGTGGAATAAGAGGGAACATCACAGTGGAATTAGAGGGAACATCACAATGAGAATTACAGGAAACATCCCAGTTGGAATTAGAGGGAACATCCCAGTTGGAATAAGAGGGAACATCACATTGGAATTAGAGGGAACATCACAGTGAGAATTAGAGGGAACATCACAGTGAGAATTACAGGAAACATCCCAGTTGGAATTAGAGGGAACGCCCAAGTGGGAATTAGTGGGGATACCCCAGTAAGAAATATTTGGAGTACACCAGTGAGAGTGGGAATACCCCAGTACGAATAAGGTGGATTCCTTCACAAAGAATTCTGTGGTAACGGAGTTATTGTCGAACTATAAAAGCCTCCAATTTCTAATTGTCATATTGTCGAATTTTCTGCCAAGTTGTGAAATCAAAATATGGCTAAAATAGTGCATATATGACAGAGTGTACACAATTGATTACAGATTATTGATGTAGCACAACGTTCGTCATCAAAGTACCACATAGCCAAAAGCAACAAAATATTTTCGTATAAAGTAAGGAGAGATTTGAAAGAAGATTCTTCACCGTCCTAAAATTTTTGTACTTCCTATTTTACAGGCTGATGAAAAGTTGGATCAGGTGTATGCCCTAAATGGCTGGAAGCGAAGAAAGCAATAATCCCAGTAAAAGCATGATGAAAACAAGCATGTACATTCAGTGCTTTGTGTTACGATCAAAATATATGTATATGTACAACGTACTGCAGACTGACGATGGTCATCGGGTCGGGAACAACGAATGAAGACGTGGTTAACGCTTCGAACTACTTCTCGCTTCGTCCGAAAACATACTTGTACCGTGATAAGTAAAGTTGCTTCATAGTTAGTGACAATACCCTGATGAGTTGTTCAGTACTATAGACTCTCAAGCGTGAGGAATAAAAAGAGGGACTAATATTTTCAGGAAGAGAATGGCAACTGAGCCTTAATGGGTTGCCAAGTTCACATCGTGCAAACTACTGGAAAACAATTATGAGAAGTGAAGTAATCAACAATTCAATACAAGCCTGCAATGGAGGTTTGGAGAATTGGACGATAAAACAAGGTTAAACAACATACATCTGGACCAATGAGTGAGTGAGTGAGTGAGTTTGGTTTAACGCCACATTGAACATTACTCCAGATTGGTCACAGTGTGTTAGCTTGATGGGTGAATAGCCTGGCGTAATGCAGGAACATTCAATATGGGACACCGAGACAGAACAGGACGACGACTGGACCACGCCCAAGGGACGTAACTTTAAATTGTACCATATGAACACCTGTACTATGCTGAAGGATATACGCAGGTGTTTCTTCAGTACGCAGTGGTCGGTGTTTTCAACAACATTCTATTTTCACGCTCATCCGGACCATACCTTGTGTATATATACAGTCATGCTCCTGTCGAACAATATTACATTGAGTTCTGTTTATTATCAAAGTCCAAACCCAAACGTAGGCATATCGTATATTAACCGTTATAAGGGCTGTTTAAATACTAGACAGTGTACATGTACTTTTACGACGACAGTAATTAGGCTGTAAGGAACAAGACAGAGCAACCAATTATTAAATATTTACTATGCATCCAATTACGTTTTTTTTTAGATTATGATTGTTTTTCTTTGCTAAGCTCAAGAGTTGATTGGTTATCAATAATGTATTGAATTCCTGCAGTCATTTCTTTGTGTTTGCCTGCCTTCACCTTGGTGATAGCGTTACAATAACATATGCTCCAACTGAAAATAAATACTTTTCGTGGCTGTATTCGTCTTGTGATGTAGTCTCTGTGGTGCTTGAACGCCCATTTCAAAGGATGGAACAATACACCACACAGATATGAAAACCCATAATTCAGCGTCTCGACTGGCACATCAGTTGTCATAAATATTTGCATGAAGTTGGGGTATTTCTAAAGAAAACATATCGACCAAGTGGATTTCATGAAGCTTTACTGTCGCCTTTGGATGTAAAGAAAGGTTTCTTATTTCCTGAATGAGTTCCACTTTTTGCTGGTATGTCTTTACTATACTGATATAAGGACAAAATATCTACCACAATATTACCATTCATATCCTACCAATTTAATTTGTTAATGAACTCTAATAATACAACTTATATTCGTTAACTTGGTATGTATATCCACCATGCTTCTGAACAAAGAAAACAACGTTTGCAGACATTGTGATTGTAAGCCATTATTGTTCTCATACTTTGTACTATAGGCCTGTGGCCTCTTCAGTAATGGAATAAAGAGAGAGTTGACATGAATATATAATTGAAATTGAAGTATTACCTCATAATGGGTTTAATGTGATATAATATCATCAACTTTCGTCGATCTGGTTATCTGAGTGCGCTAATCTGGAACAGGCGCGCCACTAGGGACGTCTAGGGCATATACCTTTACAGGTACAGTAACTCTACAGGTACAGTAACTCTACAGGTTCAGTAACTCTACAGGTACAGTAACTCTACAGGTACAGTAACTCTACAGGTTCAGTAACTCTACAGGTACAGTAACTCTACGGGTACAGTAACTCTACAGCTACAGTAACTCTACAGCTACAGTAACTCTACAGGTACAGTAACTCTACAGGTACAGTAACTCTACGGGTACAGTAACTCTACAGCTACAGTAACTCTACAGCTACAGTAACTCTACAGCTACAGTAACTCTACGTTGAAAAGAAAATACAGTACGTTTACCACCATTACACTTGATGGTCCGATATGTCGGAGGCTATACCTTCATGGTATGGAGCCCCAAACAGTACGTTTCCGTTTCTGACAAAGCAATCTCCAATAATCCAATATAATGGCATGTTTACACTCAAACATTGTTGTTCTTTTTACGTCAGTTTGGGCGTCACGTATCCGCTGTTCCTGAAACAATAAATCTTTCTGGACATGTTTTGCCATTTGTTTTGCCATCACATTTGTTTACAGACGTTCGATCCTAATCGAACATGGCGGCCTTCCATGACAGAGAATGATGGCGATGCGACCATTGTGTGTTTTATACTGACATTGGATACATATGTTCGCTGTATTTTACAAAGAACTGATCACCCCTTGTTTATACAAATATTTAATTATCCAATGTGGAAAATGTTTTCGTCACTCGTGATGACATTGCTCTTTGTCACTTGACGACTTCCACACTGATACGGTGAGTTCATTAACGCAAAGAACTTCAGCGTGAGATAAAAGATGACAAAAGATGTCATAAAATTGGCTGGGTTTAAGAGTTCAAACAAATTACAGCGAAGTGATGCCAATGACAGTAGACAATAGAGTCTCAACACAAGTTACATTAGGTGTGCAAGATGGAATAGCAGTGGTTATTTGTGGGAAAGTCATAATGATGATAATAGTCACCTGGAAGCAACACTAGTAATATTTCAAAAATAGGAGAAGAAAAGGCGCTGTTTTTGATTTGACGTGAAATGTGAGAAACTTGTGCTTACCCACCAATATAGTCTAAATACATATGTACCCTCTTTTAAGTTCCATTTTATGCAGGGTTTGTGTACAGCTGTTCTAGAAGAGTAAAGATTGTACTTGAGAGGACAAAGCATCAAACTCAAATAACTTTCAAACCACTGCTTACTGTAATTAGACTGTAATTAGACTGTAAAACATTTCCGACAACTAAATATTGTTGAAACACAATGTTGTGTACTTGTACTGAATCCTAGCGGAGACTGGTAATAAAACTGCAATGTTGTTTAACATCAAATACGCTGACGTATAATAACTTATATTATAACGTTGAACCTGACAGCTACAACATGGCTTACTTCTTACGTGTTAGGGGCGGTGGGGTAGCCTAATGGATAAAGCGTTCGCTCGTCACACCGAAGACCCGGGTTCGATTCCCCACATGGGTACGATGTGTGAAGCCCATTCTGGTGTCCCCGCAGTGATATTGCCTGGAATATTGCTAAAAGCAGCGTAAACGTAACTCCCTCACTCATTCACTTACTCACTCTTACGTGTCACGTTGTTATGATGCTTAGAAGTTTGTGACTGGTGTTTTAGAAGTTTGGTGAAACGGTGATATGGCTGACAAAAGTAGATATAGTCAGGCTCAGTATTAACAATAATGGTTATATATAGCTACATGTTATTAGCACGCTTCGAGAGGCAACTCCGGGCAGAGAATAGCGGCACCTGTGGCGATAAGTCCCTCATATCCCTACATTTATGATCATATGGATAAAGTTCACTTAAAACTTTAAATACATTATTTATTTTTCCAAGAAACAAATATATACAAACAAAATATGTCTATGTGCGTTACAGGCTACAGTGAAACAAAGAACACATTCCTTACGTTTCCGGGTATAATTACTGAATATACGTTTATAACTGTGCACTTTATATATTTGTATTTATCAATATGTACCGTATTACTCCCTCTCTTGGATAAATCCCGGCAATATCACGAAACACAGATTTCACCCATATGAGGAATCGAGCCAGGAGGAATGCGAGGCACGAGTTATCTCCCTTTGCATAGTCTAGCAAATGATGGAAGTAGTTTACGAACCAATTGAGTGAGTGAGCGAGTTTAGATTTACGCTGCCCTCAGCAATAGTCCAGCTTTATGGCGGCGGTCTGTAAATAATCTAGCTAAGATGCATAGCGTTCACTTCAGCATGAGCGTTCATGTTAGTGAACGCTATGTATCTTAGCTATAAATAATCGAGTCTAAAACCAGACAATCCAGTGATCAACAGCATGCGCATCGATCTGCGCAGTTGGGAACCGATGACATGTGTCAACCAAGTCAGCGAGCCTGACCACCCGATCCCGTTAGTGGCCTCTTTACGACAGGCATGGGTTATGGAAGTTCAATATTCTAACCTGGCCTTTCATGGGTATTTTTCCAACCGCGTAAACGTGGGAGAAAAACCTAGAGCAAAATATTAGGGTAGTGAGCACCTTTGGTTTCAGGTGCAAGTGCGTGAGAACGCTGGGTATCAAGCATAATATAATAATAATAAATGCATATTTATAGTGCGCCTATTCCACATCCTTGGGCATGCTCAAAGCGCTGTGTACAGATAATTTACACGAGAATATTTTACAGCCGAGATTATAAGTAATATACTGAGAACAGGTTTTAAGTCTGACTTTAAAATGTCATTAGTGTAAGCTTTGATTTTAATATGTGCCTGAACCTTGTCAATCAGAATAAATGAAGGCGTGACGAGGCTATATAAACGTATGTAGAATCTGTCAGTGGTCTTGAATAACACGCGGCCTGTCTTTAGAATCCCACACGAAATATGCGCAGTGAAATCAAACATATTTGTATCTTTTGCTTCAGAACATTGTTCACTTCACGGCTGTCCCTATATTCTTAACCATGACGTTGCAATATTGTTGTAATAAATGTGTTACACCGACTCGCTCGGTTGTGTTCCCATGACGACAGTGGTCAGACTGGCCTGACATTTGTAAGGCTTCAGTGCAGTGTTTGTTTACATCACAGAAATATACAAATTCATTTCATGGGGACTTTAGGGGACGCTTCCACGGTGAAATGCTCGCTCTTATTTTTCACAAAGAATAGGAAAGTCACCATTTTGGTTTCTCTACGATTGATTTTAGCCATCCTAAGTTGGTCATGAGCAACTTAGACTTTGAATCTTAACTTTACGATTGACTTAGGTAAGATTGGTTAGTGGAACGGTATGCCGATCGTAACGTCACGCTAAGATTGGGATTTTAGGGGTTTACGATTGGCATAGGGCTAAGATCGGTTAGTGGAACGGCACCCAGGGCCCCGTTCCACTAACCGATCTTAACTAAGATCAATCTTAGCAAGTTACGCCAATTTTACAATCGTCTTAGCTAAAAGTTACACCCGTTCCACTAACCGATTTTAGGCCGATCGTAGCCGGTCCCGATCTTACGATCCGATCCTAGCTAAGATCGAGACTCTTTCGTGCGAGAGATAGAAAATGCGAGGCACGAGTTATCTCCTTTCGTTAGCCTAGCAGAGGACGATGGAAGTTTAACTTTAGAACCAACTGTGATCGCGGAGAAGAACTCCTCGAGGGAGAAAAAGCAATTTTTCTCCTGAGGAAGTAGCCATTCTTATTGACGAAGGGTCCACCATCACTCCCTTTATCGGCTTCTTTCGACCCGGAGTGACGAAGAAATCTAAAGATTCGATGTAGGAGAAGATAGCTTCAAAGTAAGTGCTTTGTCCGTGTTTTCAACATGTTTATATATTCCTTTTACATATTACACAGTACCATAGTTACGGTGGTATTTCGTTAATATGCATCCCTAATGTTTAGCGTTTTATCATCAGGAACATATTCTATTTGCACCGGTAAATTGGGCAGGTAACTCTCGCTTGTAAACATCCCAATCATTTCTACTTTACTTCCGCATTCCACATTCGGTAACGCAAAGACGTATAACGTCTCTGGGTAACGGTAAGATGGACACTTTTTCTTCAACTTGAAATATCAGATGGTAAGTGATCACATAAGTTTGCTAAAAAGAAATTACATGTAACTGATAATAAAAATGGAGGAAAGTAAGATATGTACAGGGCTAAAAACTAAAACTATGAATTGGGATTTGAGTCTGCAGTGAATTTAAAAGCACTTCTACTTATAATTTGTCTTTCAGACTCATTTTTAAACAGGTTTATAGCCATTGAACTAAGTATCAACACAATATATATTTTAGATTTTAATTCATAAATTTCATAAATTATTAATGAAAACAGCCAACTTGGAGCCATGTACAACAAATCAAAATGGACAAGTGAAATATAATTAAGGTTTTATTTAAGTTTCATAACCCATTTTCTGAAGTCATGTGGAAGCAAGAACAATGACATGGACTATAATGAAATGATGATTGAAATATATATCATTGACATATTCTTCAAAGAATTTGATATTATGGCAAACAGATAATTATTTTATGATAAGTATATTGATGCTATACTATACTAATATTTCAGAATAAGTGCCAACACACAGCTGGTGTGAGATCGGCGTGTGAAGTCCGAAAGAAGTGGAATGACATAAGGTAAAAATTCCTTTTGTTTTCTTTGAATAGATTAACCTTGAAAATAATACATTCAACCAACAATTGAAATTATCTATCACCTCAAGATTCATTATGATTTTACACTTACCCAACCAACTCATCTGACTGTCACAAAATGATATCAGTGTACATGTATTCAATATTTACAGATCAAAAGTGTTATTCTGTAAATGAAAGAGACTAGAGTGATTGAAGACGCACATGAAAATTGTGTATGATGAAAATTTTATGTACACATGATCATTTTTCCAGAAGGAAATTCTTTCATCTGATTTAAATTGTATATCACATTGTCTCTATACCAAAGTGATGAACTAGGTTCCCCTAAAATTCAGAACCTGTAATGAGTATGTGGCCAAAAGACTATATGAAATATTTGATTTCCAGATGCCAGGTAAAAAGAGCTCAGCTCATGAAAAAGGAGGCCTGTAAGACTGGCGGTGGTCCCTCTGCTGTTATGCTCAATGAGCTGGATGAAAAGGTATGAAATGTTTACTTCACAGATATAATAAATGGAAGATGAAATTTAATTTTTCCTTATCATAAATCTATTTCGTTGAGTAGTATTTTTAGTTGTGACAAGAGAAAATTAGTTGCATAAAATATTATTCTTACAAGTTGTATATTACCTGGTGAGGTTAAATAGATGATTCATTTGAATATCAAAAGTGCCATTTATTACATGTACCACAAATTTATTTCTTATGTGAAATTATAGCTTTTCTTCAAATGTTCAAATTCATGTTTTCAGGTGCTCTCAACCATTCCTATTTGTCAGGTTGAGGGAATTGATGGTGGAATTGAAACTCCACTTTGTACTTGGTAATTATAATTTAATTTGACACCTTTTCACCAAAACCAGTGGTCATAACAATGAAGATATATGAATTAGATTTTGAGTATAACTGTAATTTTAAGTAACTGTTTATCAAGGGATTTATTATCTGTACCTATTTTTGATTAATTAATCAAATAATGATGCTCCTGTATGTACTTTGTTTATAGAAGATCAACCTCAACAGTTGAAGCATGTCTCCCTCAGGAAAGTGCTGCAGGTACATATTTATCAAAACAGTGTATAAATAATGAGAAATTGTGAACACCAAGGATGTTTTACATTTTCATATCCAGATATAGTAAATTGAAAGTCTGTGTATTCTTACACCCCATAATCAATGTCAAATTTCATAGACAATAAATATCAATGATTTCATGAGATTTGAAGTAAAGTTTTGTTGTAAAGAATTTAAACATTTTCAACATCTTTTTGTTCAATGTTTTAGCACTAAGAACAGTGGAATCAGTTAATGCGGGAAGTACATCCACAACATCAGTGGCAAGTGCTGTGATCCCCCCATCCCAAAAAAAGATAGCAACAAGCACAGCGATGTCAATATCCTCAGCTGTATAAGAACATCAGCCTCTACAGTAACCCCCAGAAGCGGGTCCACAAGCCATGTGCAGGGTCTGGTGAAGGTAGAGGAGTCAAAGTTGAGGTGCTGCAACAGCTGCTTAGTGTGGAGACACAGAGGCTGGCCGGGAGAGGGAGAGACTAGCACTAGAGAGGGACAGACTGGCACTTGACCGGCAGCGTCTTGAGCTAAAGGAGAGGATGTACAATTCCAATGTTGAAAATTTCATCACACCTGTGATAAGTTTTGATTAAAGAATGCGGCTTATTTTTAATATTGTGACATAATTTAGCAAAAAACAATTGATGTACTATTTGATGCATTCCTGCAGTTGAACAATATTTAATGGTGTGCATGTATAAAATAAACAAAACTGAGATTTTATCCTGTATTCATTGTTTATGGTTGAAGGTAACATATACTAGTAATTACTTTTTAAAGTGAATATGCTACTTCTCACCATGTTCATGCTGTGAAAAAATGATCAATGAGGTGTTGTCGGACTTGGTGGCCGTCATTGACCGCTCCTTGGTAAAGTCATCTGTGTTGTCTTCCTCCATGGGTTCTGGTTGGGGTAGAAGCAGGTCTATGCAGAAGTTGTGTAAGTAGAAACACGACAAAATTACTTTGCAGCATTTCTTGGTAGAGAAGGGCAGGTATCCAGTGCTTTTGTGCAAACACCTGCAAACATATTAACACTACTACAACACTTCATAATCCAAATCAACTTCTTTCATGAATTATTCTCAATTTTACCTAACTGTTCAGTAAAATTAATTTCATGAAAATCATTTTAATTTGACGAAGCTTTTATTTTGATAATGACTGCAAGTGTATATTTGTTGTTATGAAACCAACCTGAATCGTGATTTCAGGACACCAAAATCCTCTCTACCACATTTCTTGTCTTGCAGTGTTGCTGATTGGTATCTCTGCTGAGCCGGGGTGCTTGGATCTGCCAGGGGTCAACAACCATGGTCGACACCCATATCTTTGTCAAAACATAATTGAAATATTGATATGGCTATTAGAAAAGAGTTGCATCAAGTTTGAAGTTATGTATTTATAATATGATCATTAAGTTAAACTATGACAATTAGGTAACAGATAAAAATACCTTATATGCCAATCATGCTTTTATACATACAAATACATCTGACACTAACTAACATTACTGTACCCTGAATCTCCAAGGAGAAAACCGTCTGGGCAATCATGTTGGAATGTTTGTCCAATGATACCTGTTGTTTAGAATGGAGGAATCATGCGCAGATCCTGGCCATCTTGCCACAACATTAGTAAATCTGAAATGTTAAAGTAATGTACATTTTTAATATAAAGACTGCACATTTTTTTTCTATTTGTAGTTCTTCAATCAAACTGTAAAATGTAATAAGAATAAGAAATAGGAAATATTAGGAATGGAAAACTACAAAAATAAACTTAAAGCATTAATATATGATCAGCATGCGCAGATCCACAAATTTTGAAAGGGGTGGCTGGTGGTTCGCTCCCTTTGGCTCCTCCAACGCAAAACAAATCTTCAATGTGGTCTTAAGTCATTTTCAAAACAGTAGGGGCGAACCCCATGCACACACACACCTCTGGATCCGCCAATGAACAGTACCGATGGGATTTGAAGCGAGGATTTTGGAACGACAGTCTTAGCTCTACCAACTGAGTACAAAACACGAGAAAATAATTTGTGCTTGCAGGAGACCTTTGGCCTCACCATGACATTTTATTTTTCATATAATTCCCTAACGTGTTATCAATAGAAATATACGTGTACTGTGTTAATCTTCATTTCACTAACGATTTTAAGTATAATTAAATGATGACGAGTTGGTAACAAATAGTCTAACCCTTAGAGGGCCCCATCTGTTAGTGACAGGAAACCAACAGCCATTGGTCAAGATCGTTTCTAATGTAAACAGGAAGTGTTTCGCTCGAGTCAGTATACCGAAACTTATGAATTCTACTTATTGCAGTACATCAAAAACATCAACCATCTTACCTGAGGGATGCATCGCATACTGCCTGCACATTAATGGCATGGTAGCCTTTTCTGCACACAAAAGCAGCCTCTTCGTCAGCAGGGGGCTTCGCAATCGGGATCAAAGTCCCATCAATGGTACCAATCACCTTAGGAAATCCTGCGAGTTTGAAAAAAATCACTCTTTGTCCTGATGATACTCCCCCGTGTCTGGTCGAAGGAAATATTATCCAACGCATCACATATAGCCTGAATGGTTGGACGGAGCAGCCTAGATACGCTTGACTTGGATATACCATTAAGATCTCCCAGTTCAACAAGAAATCCACCCTTCCCGAGAAATCTTAGGGTAGTCAACACCTTGGTTTCAGGGGAAAGTGCGTGTGAACGCTTAGTATCTGGCATAATATGTGGCTGAACCTTGTTAATCAGCATGAACAAGGCGTGACGAGCATTCTATACCTCGCCACAAGCACGTCATCCGATGATGTGTCTAGAATCTGTGAGCGGTCTCGGAAAACTCGCTCACGGTGTAAAGCTCGCTCTTCTTCTTCACATACAATAATGAAAGTCGCCATTTTGGTCTCTCTACGATTGATTTTAGCGATCCTAAGTTGGTCATGAGCAACTTAGACTTTGGATCTTAACTTTACGATTGACTTAGGTAAGATTGGTTAGTGGAACGGTATGCCGATCGTAACGTCACGCTAAGATTGGGATTTTAGGGGTTTACGATTGGCATAGGGCTAAGATCGGTTAGTGGAACGGCACCCAGATCATTAACCTTGAAGAGTATACGGATTATTTAATAAGCTACCCGACAGGCGTTTGCACGTAGAATTCATTCAGCTATATGAAAGCGTAAGATACAATCACATAAATATACAAATGTTTTGGTTACGAACGTAAATAATTAGTTTCATTGTCACAGTGTCCATGTACAGTTGGGTTTTATTTTTAAGAAGGGTTGACATATTCCTACTGGTAGTTTTTGCCTTTGTTTTGTTATTATTGTTGTCAAGAATATAGTAGTTATTTCACGGATCAGTTACGTGTAACGTATCATCATGAATGTACGCCGTCGTATGGTAACAGTTTTCATTGTGTACGCTTCATGACAGCCATTTAACACAAGGCCAACCGGAGTCTATATCCGAACAATCCAAGTATTATATATCCCTATCTATAGGAGTTTTAGCACTGAACAACATTGGTCGGCAAACGTGTTCCATACAATGCAGTGCCCGTCCTGCCAGTGAGATGTATGCGAACGCATGTAAATGGATGAATTGACAAGGTGCAAACCACAATGTGTCTTTATTACCCTGGACTTTGATGGCATACACCTTTAAGTTAATGCTCAGCCAGAGTGATTGTGAGGACCCTTTGCCTTTGGTAAACACTCTCCGTTAAAGGAAACGCGCCCACCGCCCGATAACTAAGGTTGCTTATCTTCGACGTTGCGAGGGACGCGACAGTATCCAAGGGCGCACCACGGGAAGAATGTGATCATATTGACCGAATAGGAATGAATAATGAAAAGTTTTAACTCAGTGAGCGTTCCGCTCTATGAAAACAACTATCGAGGCAGTTAGTGCACAGGAGTCCTTCCTACTGTTGTTTTTTTAGCTTGTGGATATTGCTCTTTTACAGTTTCCAACTGGATTCAATTTGTATTTTGCAGGTAAGTAGTCCTTGTGATTTAATGCCTGCATTCTATCACGGTGGCAGGTATATTTTCTGGATTGTATTTCGCAGGTAAGTGTTTGTTATTCCTTTCAATAGCTGAATTGATTGTTCAGATAAATGGGTTTTTTTTACATTTTACATCTAGATTGACTGGGAGGTAAGTGTTCTTGGAATTGTGTTTCGTAGGTAAGAGTTCTCGAGATTTAAAATCGGGACTGTATTTCCAATGTAAGTGTTCTGGAAATTCAAAACGTGGATTGTATTTCCTAGGTTAGTGTTCTGGAAATTTAACATCTAGATTGTATTTCGTAGGTAAGTTTTCTGGAAATTTTAAATCTGGATTATATTTCCCATGTAAGTGTTCTGGACATTCAAAGCTGGATTGTATTTCGCAGTTAAGTGTCCTCGAGATTTAACATCCGGACTGTATTTCCCATGTAAGTGTTCTGGACATTCAAAGCTGGATTGTATTTCGCAGTTAAGTGTTCTCGAGATTTAAAATCCGGACTGTATTTCCCATGTAAGTGTTCTGGACATTCAAAGCTGGATTGTATTTCGCAGTAAAGTGTTCTCGAGATTTAACATCCGGACTGTATTTCCCATGTAAGTGTTCTGGAAATTCAAAGCTGGGTTGTATTTCGCAGTTAAGTGTTCTCGAGATTTAAAATCCGGACTGTATTTCCCATGTAAGTGTTCTGGACATTCAAAGCTGGATTGTATTTCGCAGTAAAGTGTTCTCGAGATTTAAAATCCGGACTGTATTTCCAATGTAAGTGTTCTGGAAATTCAAAACGTGGATTGTATTTCCTAGGTTAGTGTTCTGGAAATTTAACATCTAGATTGTATTTCGTAGGTAAGTTTTCTGGAAATTTTAAATCTGGATTATATTTCCCATGTAAGTGTTCTGGACATTCAAAGCTGGATTGTATTTCGCAGTTGAGTGTCCTCGAGATTTAACATCCGGACTGTATTTCCCATGTAAGTGTTCTGGACATTCAAAGCTGGATTGTATTTCGCAGTTAAGTGTTCTCGAGATTTAAAATCCGGACTGTATTTCCCATGTAAGTGTTCTGGACATTCAAAGCTGGATTGTATTTCGCAGTAAAGTGTTCTCGAGATTTAACATCCGGACTGTATTTCCCATGTAAGTGTTCTGGAAATTCAAAGCTGGGTTGTATTTCGCAGTTAAGTGTTCTCGAGATTTAAAATCCGGACTGTATTTCCCATGTAAGTGTTCTGGACATTCAAAGCTGGATTGTATTTCGCAGTTAAGTGTTCTGGAAATTTAAAATCTGGATTATATTTCCCATGTAAGTGTTCTGGAAATTTAAAACCTGGATTGTATTTCGTAGGTTAGTGTTGTTTACATTTTACTATCTAGAGTTTTGGAAAGTGTCTTTTGATATACAAGTGTATTGAATTTCGTTGAGAAGTGTTATTGCTATTTCTGTTTCGTATTGGGGGTGTGTTGTAATACTGTGTGTTCGGTTTCTAATTTCTGTTGTAGCGTAAGGATTAGTTTGATTGTTATTCATTGCCATTAGGGTAAATAAGAAACTTTGTTATAAGAATGAAATTTAACTGCATGAATTCATTTTTCAAACAACCTCTTCGAAATGTAAATATGTCTACACACTCCCAATTACGAATCTTTCAGAAGACATTATGAACACCATCTTGTTGTACTCAGCGACACTATGGAATATATTTGGATATGAATAGAGGCTTGTAATTGTTTGGTTTTCTCATAAAAGTAAAATATCATAAAATAAAATCTTTTACATAAATCCATTTTCTGTTAAAAATGTGAACTATGATGCTTTTAGCAATGTGTAACAATTATGAATTGGCGGTTTCAAAGATGATTCGTACTTTATAACTAGGGTTATATAGCGCATATATTGGTTGAACTACAACCTTTAATACACATGAACGGGAAGGTCAGTGGGTCGGGGTTTTATATGACCAGGACATTGGCCTCCTCTGGGTACCAGGGAAGCTGACACGCATCAATCACGTCAATAGTAACAGCGGCGTGAACATACGGGGTGACTTCATCAATGAATGGTAGGCCTGCGTGATTTAGTGGCGAGAGCGTCTTCCCCGATAGCTGATAGTGGGTAGTTCGATCCTCGGTCGCATACGTATTTCTTAAGATACATATTTATTCATGTGGTTGTATACGTACAATACATGTGTACGTACCTTATACACCCGATCACATCACCACAACCTCATCGGAGAATATATGAGTTACTATACGAGATAATTTGAGTAAGACAAACGCCGTACAGATGACGTAATATTTAACTTGATAGGCACGGAGACATAAAATGTGTGGGCAATAAGAATCCTTTTCCTGAAGTCAAATTAAATAGTTAACTATTTGGAAGACGTTATGCTTCATTATCATCAAAAGCAAAGTGTTAACTTCATTTCGTGGACAGACACATAAAGTTACATAGTTTGGTCTTAATCCTTGGGAAGGAACGAGAACATGTCAATATCCTCATACATTTTTTCGTAAAAACGAATGAGGACCGGATGCGGCAATGGACTTCGTCATAGCACTTACAGTGCTGATTCCCTGAAGTAAGTTCAAACTAACACCGTCTTGAAAGGTCATTTCTAACAAGTCGAAATGAATATATTTATCAGTCTAAAAGCTACCAGATTCAAAATATCAAAACATACGCTAAGTCTAGTGTGAGCCAACTTTACACTCACGGGGACTGTAGGAATGGTAACGGCCTTTTTGTCCTGTACGTGAATTGTAATGTAACGCTCTGTTGACACAAGAATCAATACTGATCACAGTGCATTTTGCCTGTTTGACAAAAGAAGCTGCCCTCTATACAAATAGCATTACAAAACGTGTTCATATTAACCTCCGGCTTTCTTTCGTATACTTATTGAATCTAACAAGCCCGTTATCAGTAGGGGAACTTACTCAATCGCATGCCTCTGTGTGCAACTTAATGTTTAAATATCACATCAGAGTGCGGTCAATTGCCCTACAGATACGTATACCTGAGATCGTGAATAGCTGTCTAGTTGCCTGTAATATAATTAATCAAATACAATATACCGGTTATGGCGTTATGAAGTGAATATATTCTGTTTTTGTCGTGATATGTTTGTGATATGTATCATCCAGCGTCATGGCGACGGACCCATAGATAGCTGCAAACCATTCCTTATGTTATCTTAACAATAATCTTTCTCACTGTGACATGACTTTTGTAATAGAAACATATTAAATTGAATAGTAATAAATCAAATCAAATATTCGTTGCATCTGTTTTTCAGTAGATATATCATCTTTTACAAATGTAAATTCTCTGCTTTGAGACGTTGACTTTTCAGGTATGAGGTAAAACTCATAACTTCTTGTTATTTTCATTTCACTTTATCAAACGGTTATGACCTAAATCTATCCAAACTCATCAGGTTATAAGTTTCTTCACATGAACATGGGGTTATTGCTAAGGTCGCGATGACCTGGAGACCTGCACGTGCGACCATTCCCTTGATATGTCCCTGACTGACAATCAGCAGCATGCATTATACATGTACGTGACTGATAGTGAAGTTCCCCATGCCCTGAAGTGTGACAACAAAGCGTGACTTCACCCCTCTAAGTAATTGAGTACTTAATTATGCAGATGACCACATAATCAAATCAAGCGTAGTTACCACACCTTGGACTTAGATACACAACCATAGTTCACCTGTCCTGGACACGGGAGGTCAAGCCTTCTGGTGATCCATGGGTACAGTCAGACCAGAACTCACTGGTTCGAATCCACGATATGTTTACGATGTGTTTGCACCATACGCGTGCTCGTGGGTTTTACCAACATGGAGAGCATCGTCATCACGTCGGGCTCCTACGGGAACACTCGGTGTCAACATTACTGAATAACGACATATTAACTTAAACATGCTTATGATATGTTTATAGTCGGAATTTTACGAAGACCTTATAGTTTCTTATGACCATGGGACGGTTATCGTTACGTTTTTATTTCCTACACACCAATCTAGCGTGTTCTGACGTAACTGCTTTATGTAATGGTAACTGAGTAGGTTTGAACAATACAAATAGCTGCAAGGTTCAAGATATGTAGCACAAATATGAGGTGTGGAAACCTTGGTTAATACGTATAAGTCACTGCGACATGTAGTTTAAAATAATCGCCACAACTATATTACAGACGAAGGATATTGCGTGTGTTTATCATACTTTCAAAGCAATAATCGAGACAAAATATGTGTTAATATTACCGTAAACCACCTTTATATGTTCATAAAACAACAAGCCTGCAAGTGTTTGGAATTAATACCTCTTATCGATCAGATAACAGCGTGCGTGTTGATGATAGGATCGCTGGAAACACTTCCCCCCCATGGAATTGTTCGCCGCGATTACGTTCGGCCGCCGAAAAAGCCACAATTGTCTTCTTGACAAAATTTATATCATGAGTTGATATTTTCTGAACACGACATTAGGTTTGTATGTGCCCTCACCACCCGTATGACATCTGAACTCGAGACATACAGAAACACGCTTGAAGTTTTGCAAACAATGTAACCTGAATGTAAAACTGTTTCAAATACCTATTTGATTGGCCACAGAGTTGATTGTCTATATTACCCGTGAAGGTCCGGGTTAGGATATTGATCTTCAATAACCCATGCTTGTCATAAGAGGCGACTAACGGGATCGGGTGGTCAGGCTCGCTGACTAGGTTGACACATGTCATCATATCCCAATTGCGTAGATCGATGCTCATACTGTTAACCACTGGATTATCTGGTCCAGACTCGATTATTTACAGACTGCCGCCATATAGCTGGAATATTGTTGAGTGCGACGTTATACAACAATCAAACCAAAATGATTATCAATGTGTTAAAAACAGTATTGGTTTAACGCCACTTTGCATGATATCCGGGTCATATCGCTGAGTGGCAGCTAAGTAATCCATGTCTCAGACTTTTACCATTTTGGTGGAATTTGGATTCGAACCCCCAACAATAGGTTTCCAAGGGAAGCTGAGGGACCT